TGGCCTTTGTGACCTGATCGTAAAAGGCAATCAGGTTGAAACATAGTTTCTCCCTGAAACCCCCCTGCAAAGCTGTTCCTTGTGCAGATCATGACACATCAAGAGCCACTCACTGCAGCCAACAGGTGGGTACTGGCCAAAGTGGCATGGAAGTAACCTTGCCTATCCAGCCACTAGCCACTGGACCGCATCTCGAACCTCCACAGCCACCTCTTATCCACATGCTGTGGCCAGGCCTGCAGACTGTATTAAACCTTAGTGGCTAAATTAATGTAATTGGCATTATGGACAGCAGTGGCCCAGGGCTGACAGGCTGATGGACGCCAGCCACTGGAGGCTCCATCTGGGCAAGGCTGAGGACATTCTCTGCAGCACTCCTAATACTGCCCCTAATCTGCATCTCTTAAACCTGATCACTGCCACAGGCTTTGTCTTATTAATTCTTAATCAGCTTGGCGAATGGCAATCAATGGTAACCAGTGCCGTTTTCCATCCTGCATTGTTTGTTGGGATTGCTATGGCAACCAGCGGCAGCCAACCTCAAGTCAGCTAGTCTGGGGAAACTAATACAGACACACAGGAGGCAGGGCTCTTGCTCCGCATCCCTGCAGCCAGTCAGTCTGGTGAGGCAGGAGGGTGTAGGGGGACCATTGCAAAGTCTGCTGCCAGGCCAAAGGATAAACGGTGATCCTGTTCAGATGAACTCAGTGCAAACTCCCTGCCTTCCCTTGCAACTTCCTGTCTGTCTGTCTCTCCAATAGTTTCCTTCTGTTTCTGCAGCTGCCCTTTCCCTAGCTCCATGCAGTTTCCCTGGCACCAAAGCTGAGATTCCAGCTGGCACTAGGCTAGAGGAATGCAGACCCTAGGCTCCAGGGCCAGGGGTGATGGCAGGACAAGGCACAGCCTGAGCTGAGAGAAAGTGTAAGGCCAAATCTCAGCAGAGTGCAGGGAGGAGGTTGAGTTCCTGAGGAGCTGCAGGCTGAGCCACAGCGTAAGTCTAGCTCCACAGGTCCCTGCCCTGTCTGGGGACTACAGTCTCAGACACTCTCCCCTGGCAGTTGCAACCATGTCAGCTCTGGCTGGAGGCAGCACCACCACCCCTGGGCCTTAGGGCTGAGAACATGGTGCATGTCCAAGTTAACAGAGGCAGATCAGGGCCAGACACTGCATGGCAGCCAGGAGGGCTCAGGAGAGCTTCCAGCACTTCTGCCCTTCCCACTTACTGCTGGGGTGAGTCCCTGGGGCAGGCAAGAATCCCCTCAACTGCAGATGCCCTTAATCCTGGGATGCCCCCTAGCTCTGCACACTTGAGTCTCAAGCTATGGTCCATAGGCAGCAGCAACCTTCAGTGGGGAGGCCTCAGCTCTTTGACGTGCACCTGCCTGTCCCACCATACTGCAAGCTCCTTTGCTGATGGGACAGTGCTAACCCCACCACTTGCTTGGGTCTTGGCCCCACCACTGTCACCAACTGCAGTGACAGGCAGCATTGTCCTTGTGCCTTTGGTGCTATCTGAGCCCCAACACAATAGAGCAGATCTGGGGAGTGATGATTTAAGGGGGGCCTCTGAGCTTGGGAGAAGGGACAGGCTGTAAATTGTGTAGCAATAGCAAGCTTCAGCTGCTGGCATGTCCTCAACGGGATATAGCTTATCAGGATGGCAGCAGGCCCGAGGGCTAGAAGTGAGAGCAGCTTCAACCTGTAAGGGAGCATGCTGATGTGCGAGGAGGGTATCACAGAGGGGTAGAGCTGTACAGCCATGTCTCCACCACAGCGCTCAAGCACAGGGGCTGGGTCCAGCAGCCCCCGGACCTGAGCAGTACATTAACTTACCATACTTGCCCAAAGCTCCTTGCGGAAGCCCCCCTCAGCTCCCTCAGGCACTAGCAGTGCCTGCTCCCAGCCCTCTCCAACTCACTTGGCTGCATTGCTTGCACTCCAGCTGCAGGAGCACTGTGGAGCTTAGCCCCAGATGGAGCCTGTGGTGCTTGGCAGTGCTCCACAACCTGGCTAGGGTCTGCGGCCTGTTAAGCTGAGGCAGCAGGACTGTTTGATTCCCAGGCCTGGTTCCACTGTCACTGCCACTGTGTACCACAGGCATAGCCCCTCCAGATGCCAGCAGTGGGAGGTCTGGGCCCAGGCCCTCCCTGAGCAGGGTGAACCCACAAGCCAGGGTCCATGGGGTGGCTCTGAAGGGCTTGTACCAGCCAGGTATAACAGACAGCCCAGACCCCTCCAGATAGAGCCAGCAGCTGGTGCAGAGACCACTGGGGCCAATCCTGAGGCCCCACCATCTGGCCCAGCACTTTGCCCACATGGCTGGGAGGGATCCCTCAGCTCCAAGCTGCCTTACTGAAATTGATTAACAACCCATTGCCTTGTTCTGGAGTTGGAAACCACTAATTATGAGCTTAAATATGCAACCATTCCTGTAATTAGCAGGTAATCAAGTCAAGTGCTATTATCTGTTCTACAATTACCAGGCAGAGGCTGACACACAAGGCCAGGGGTCCCTCCCTGCTCTTCCTGCCCTGGGCCTCCAGCCCCACTGCTGGGTCTGGGTACTCCCTGCCTCTGCTTTCAGGCTGGGCACTGGGGCAGCCCCCAGATGCAGTGCCCATGGCACAGCTGTTCCAGCACAGTGCTCAGGTCTCACTTACGTGGTCTGGTACCTGATTGCTAAAGCACTAGGCAGAGGCAGCTCTGAGAGCAGGTGAGCAGCAGGCACTGAGGTGTGGGGTGGTCTGCAAGGAGAGAAAGGCTGGGGCTGTCAGCATCTCAGAATTGGCAGGATCAATTATTAAGGGACTGGGACATATTTGAGAATGGCCTGGAGTGTTTAATGCTCTTTCAGAATGAAATATTAAACCATCTTATATAGAGTGAGCAACCCCAGTGGGCCCGAAGCAGAAGGAGCAGGAGCTGAGTGCATCTGCCTGTCTAACAGGCTCAGCCCCAGGGCTGAGTTGTGCTTGGTGGGGCTCAGCTGAGCCCCAGGAATTTTGGCACCAAGGACTTGACCTAGAGTTCTTTGCTGCTCTGTATTGCATGGCCTCTTTGGTGCTGGAAAAGGGGTCTGTCTGTCCTGTGTCCCAGCCAATGAACCCACAGAGCCCAAGGGGGGATGTGAGGGCAGGCCTGGCTCCTTGTCTGTATTACCTGCTTAACTGCCTTCAGTAGGCAGGCCCTACCTTCACACCTCCAGGCTCAGGCCCCAGCTGCCCCACTCCTACCCTACCAGGCAGGCCTCCTGCTTCATGCAAACACCCCTTCCTTTTTATCTCTTCCCTTGTCTCCAGTGAGCAGGGCCTGCTGCCACCTCCCTGTGTTTATTGGTGCCTAAGCTGCTTATTGAACAATGCTGCTAAATGGCAGCGTCCAAAGGCAGCCAGTGGGAGGGAGGAGATTAGCCTAAGTGCCCTGATTAACTGTGACCTGCTGCAGTGTGTGTGACCAAGCAGGGAGTGTGTTGAGTGCTGGGGGAGCAGAGCAGGGTGGAGAGGCACTCCATGAGGTTGTCCCAGTGGTAATTAGCACCCATACCCCGCAGGGCCCAGGGGCACTCAACAGTGCTGAGCTGATCCCATGCCCCACCCAGCACCATGGCTCTTGTTTAGCTCTGTGGTGGGATGGGCAGGAATGTCCCTTATCACCCAGAGCACACTCCACACTGCCTGAGCTGAAGAGGCTGTCCCACAAGCTGGCAGCTGTAGGAGGCTCTTACTCTAGGTAGCTGGTCATGAGGAGGTACCTGGCACGCTGCACTGGTGCACTGTGCACAGGTGCTTGCCAGCGTGACTGGTTGAGGTGGACCAGGTAGGGGGGAGGGGCAATGCAGGGTGCCAGACAACCCACTGCCAGCCTGCCCTGCTCTCATTGCAGCACAGTTAGTGCACAGACCAAGAATGGTGCCACACCCCTCTACCTAGCCTGCCAGGAAGGCCACCTGGAGACTGTCCAGTACTTGGTGAAGGACTGTGCAGCTGATCCCCACACACGCGCCAATGATGGGATGACCCCCCTGCATGCCGCTGCCCAGATGGGCCACAACACAGTCATCGTCTGGCTGGTGAGTGCCCACCTAGACAGCACAGGCTGTGGGGCTGGCTGGTGGAAGAGTGCACTGAGGTCTGGACATCAGCCTCCCACTTCTGAGTGTCCCCTGAGGGCTAGGCTTTAGGAGGGATGGGACCTTTGGTCTTACTGTGGGTAGGCTCCTATTCAGGGAGTCTTATGGAGAATGAGGGGAAGCTCCTGGGGCTTGGCTGTCCCTGAGACTAGTGTGTCTGTGGGGGGCTTGCTGTGTTACCCACCCAGATGGTCCCAAGCCACTCACCCTCTCCCCTGCCTGCCCTCTGGCCTTTCACAGATGAGCTTCACGGACATCAGCCTCTCGGAGCAGGATGACGATGGTGCCACTGCCATGCACTTCGCGGCCAGCCGTGGCCATGCCAAAGTGCTGAGCTGGCTCCTGCTGCATGGGGGCGAGATCTGCACCGACGCCTGGGGTGGCACGCCCTTGCATGATGCAGCTGAGAATGGGGAGCTGGAGGTCAGCAGAGCAGGGGTTGGGGCGCAGCCATGCTGGGGGATGGGGACAGGCCTGTCCTAACAGCACCTGGGCTCTGGAGGGCACAAGGGCCTGCATCAAGGTTGGATGGGTGGTGCTGGGGGGTTCTGCAGGGAAAAGCCCCTGGCAGAGCAAGGCAGGGCAGGGGTGGGAGGGATGGGGACAATCCTGCCTTGGAACAACAGCTCTACCCTCTGTAGTGCAATGGTGTGGACCTGCCTGCATGCAGCATTCTCGCAGCAGGGCCTAGCCCCACACTGCCTTGGGTGACAGCCTGAAGGCAGGTGTCCTGTTGGGCCCTCCCTTATCCAGTTGTCCCTCTTGTCATCTCCTTCCAGTGCTGCCAGATCCTCGTTGTGAATGGCGTTAACCTGGGGGTGCGGGACCACGATGGCTATACAGCTGCCGATCTTGCCGACTACAATGGGCACAACCACTGTGCCAAGTACCTCCGCACTGTTGAGAACATGGTAGGGCACCCTGCCAACACCTTCCTAATTCCCACCTGGGCTCAGCACAGGGCAGGTGCTACGCTGGGAATGAGGGGGAAAAGCCAAAGCAGGAAGCAGGTGGGGACAAGCCCACTCAGCATGGTGATCCAGGGGGCAGCAGGCTGCAGGTGCAGTGCACAGTACGGTCCTTCACTGGGTTTCTGCCAGCCCATTGGCTTCCTTGGCTTTCATGATACCCAGGGCAGCTAGTGCCTTGCTGACCGCCTCCAGGTACCATTTTGCTGAGTTGCTAGAGGTTGGTGCATGCCACTCTCACCCCAGAAGCTGGGCCCTGCTGTGCTGCAGGGGAGGGTACAGGTCATTAGGCTGCAGCTGAGCAGCCCTGGTTCTGTTTCCTGCTACCACTCAACTCTGACAGACTGGGGTTCCAGGGATGCCTTGTCCCAGAATGGTGTTCCCTTGGGCTCCTTCATTATGAGAACTGGTGAACACAAGGCAGCTGGAGCCACCAGGTAATGAATGCAGCTGGGATGCCCTGAATAGCTGGGATGCCTGCAATAGCCCCCAGGAAGAGCAGGGCTGCAGTTTGGAATGAGCTCAACAACTGCCACAGCAGGCCCCTAAGCACAAAACGACCCGGTGAGCCAGGAGCAGGGGCATCATGAGTCCCATCTCCCAGCTCTGGGGGGGGGCTTCAGGAATAGGCCAGAGAGCTCCTGCTGTAGGGGCTGCAGCCAGACAGGGGCTGGCAGATTCATCCTGGGGTCAGCTGCTGAGATGAAAGGGAGCAGTCACAGCGGGAAGAGGGCTGGGCAGCTCACAGACATGGAAATTGTTTAGGGAAAGGAGATGCTGGTTTCACTCTTCATTCACCCACTTACAAATGCACATGCATGGCTCCCAGGGCCCAGCATAGTGTGTGTCAGTGTAGCCATGCCCCTGTGACTCCAGACTCCTGCACCACATGCCCTGGCTCAGGTCCTGACTCCCAGACCTGAGTGATAAAGCACTTTCTTGGGGCTTTCAGGTATCTCTGAGCTGGACCCTCCCTGGTCCTGTGTGCGCCCACACTAATGGAGTGCATGGACTCCACAGCTGTTTCACTTGGGGGTCAAGTGGAGAGGTGCCCCCAGGTCCTTCTGCTGGCAATAAGACAGTCCAGCAGATTCCAGGTAGAAGAGCCACTGGGCTGAACTTATCAGGACTTAACACACTGCCTGTTGGACCTGCAGAGCATGGAGCACCGTGTCCTGTCCCGTGACCCCTCCGCTGATCTGGAGCTCAAGCAGCCTGACTCAGGCATGTCATCACCCAACACCACTATGTCAGCTCAGCAGGCTCACTTTGACATCGGGTCACCCACCAGCACCTTGTCCAACTATGACTCCTGCAACTCCAGCCAGTCCAGCACGGGTGAGAAGCGTGGCTGCCAGCATGCCAGCCAAGGCACCAGTAAGTCCCAGGATGCCCCTGCCCTGTGCTTGCAGTGACTGCCTTGGGATATGATGCAGACTCCTTGGGGCTCAGAGGGTGGCATGGGGGGCAGGCATGGGCAAAGGGAGCATCCAGGGCCATGCATGCAACATAAAGGGAAAGCCATATGCAAATCACCTTCCTGGCCCTCCCACAGCCATGGTGTGTGGGGGGAGGGGGGGCGCAAGGGGCTGGTGCAGTAAAAGGAGCATTGGCTCATCACAGCAAGCCAGTGAGTGTTCAACCAGATCCTGCCGCTTCCTGAGACCATGCAAAGAAGTCCCTTGAGCTGCTGCCCTACTGGCCAGTCCAGTGCCACAGAAGACAGCACCCACTATGGGGATGTGGGGTGGAGGGTGCTGCTGTGGGTGGCAGCCAGTCAGGATGGAGGAATCTGCATATGGCACATCACTTCTAACCTCTCCGTGATCCGATTGGTTGAGCTGGTCTCACTACCCCTGCTCTGGGACTCCCTGGGAATCCAGCAGCTGCAGCACTTTCTTTTCCTGTGCCCTCCTCAATCGCTTCTCAGTCTTTTGGCCCAGATCAAGCGTGGTCCCTGCACAGGGGCTTGCATGTGGGATTTCGGCCTCTTGTGGGCCAAGATCACCTTGAATGTCTTTGTGTAGTTAAGGGTGGAGACTTGTCCAACGCACTGTGGGCAGACACCCCTATGAGAATCTACTATAGCCTCCCAGTGGGAGGATCTTGGTTACATGCTTTATTTTTATGGAGACAGAGGATTTCTCCCAAGCTTGCTTCTTTGTTTTTTTTGACTAAGGGAAAGTGAGACTTGGGGGCATCTGAACTCCAAGGCCTCCAAGCTTGGGGCCTGCACATAGGATGTCTGCCATGGATTTAGGAGTATCTGAAGCCCTGGGTGGTAGTGCCACACAGACTTGAACCACTGAGCTCTGCTCAGTCGATAGCATTCAGAACTGATTTGGCTGATTTGGCCTGAGGTATGAAATTAAAAAAACCACAATCTTGATGGGAAGGCATTGAGTGCAGGGCTGGGGCCTGCCCCAGCACAGCAACAACAGGGGCCAGCAGCAAAGCTCTCCTGGCCTGTGGCTGGCAGAGGAAGGGGCCTGTCTAGGCAGGTGCAGATTGAGCTGCCAGGCAGGGCGCCTTGCTTGTGGTGCCTGTCCAGCTCCCTCTTTGTCTTAGTCAAGGAGTGCAGAAATGCGTCTTCATTCCTGGGACCTCAGTGCCTGCTAGGGAAATAGAACTGCTCCCAGCGCAGCCTTGCAGGGAAAGACATGCCAGGACCTGCTCTCCATGTCTGCTAGGGTCTGAGTATCCATTGTAACTGGTAAAGATACCCAGGGAGGCCCTGCTGCCTCAGAGAGAGCGGGGTGCCAAGCAGCAGCAGTCTAGCCCTGCTGCCAGCCACCGCCGTGCCTGTGGGTTTGGCTGGCTGCAGCCACTGGGGGGCAATGATGGGCCACACCAGTGCCCCCTGGTGGAAATGCTCTGCCTGCATCACTGCTGGCTTGGCTCCAGCCTCATCTCAGGGCACAGGGGCAAGGGCCAACCCTCTTTTGGGGTGAACTACTTGGTCCAGATGGCCACAGTGTCCTGCTCAACGTTCCCGAGTGCTGTTCCTACAATCAGGCAAGGTTCTTCGAGTAGATGTGGTATCTTTTATTAGATCAACTGAGTAGTTGGGAAAAAGTTCCTAGCAAGCTTTCGGACACAGTCACCCTTCTTCAGGCATATGTTCCTGCAGTTAGTTAGCCGTGCCCTCACTAAAAGCTGCACTTGCAGACAGAAGGAGGAAGGGGCCCTTGCCCAGAGGAGTTTCTGTAAGTCAGTGACTTGCCCCAATGACCATCCCCACTCAGCAGGAAGGCTGTGGGGTAACCAGGCCTGCACAGAGCTTGCCAGAGAGGGCCTGGGCCTGCAGCCCCTTGTGCAGAGGCAGACTCCATCCCTGTAGCAGTCAGAAGGCTCCGCACATTTCCAGCTGTCCCTGCCGGTGCTGCCAGTGGTATTTTGCCCCTGATTCTGCTTGAAGCGTGCACACAAGCCACTTCCACCTTCCACTGGTGAAAGGCAGGTCTCAGCCCAGCCCAAGGGCACCCCTAGCTGTGCTGTGCACAGACCCACACAGATACAAGTTGCCCTGGTGTACCCCATACTCCCTAGCTGGCCAGGCCCTGGGAGGGCACAGGGCTCTGACAGGGTGACCCGGAGGCCCTGTCCTGGCAGTCGCACTGTCAGTACCTCCTCCACCCCCTCAAAATCCTGGAGGGTAGCCTGAGGTGGAAATTCTCCTGGGAGTCGGTGAAGGTGGTGGGAGCAGTGGCAGTGCCTGTCCACGCAGCCTTAGCTCTGTGCTGGGAGGGTCTCACTCTGGGGTGGGTGCAGGCACATGGCTCCCACCGCAGACACCATGACAGGCTGGTCTCCCCCACAGGGATTGCCATGACAACCATCACAGACATGCAGGCGTACATGGACATGCTGAACCCTGAGATCCGGCCGGGTGCAGACAAGAAGTTGAGCGAGGCCTCCCCACCCCCTCCCCTTCCCTACCTTTCCCGCCCC